GTCGTAGGGGCTCGCGAGAGGTATGGCTGGCGCACCCGGCCGGAGCGGCTTGTGGAAGCTCCATGTATTTTTGCGACGAAGGATTGAAAACCAACTCCTGCGTGACGCGGCCGGGAGGGTCCCGCGCTGCCCCCGTGCGGTGCCGGATCGAATGCGCCCGACAGGCGCAACGCTGTCTTTATCATCCGGTTAGCGTTTTCGACCAGCCCATTGGATTGTGACTTGTGGGGTGCGGTGTTCCATATGGCGACGCCATGTAGGATGAGATTCCTTAGCACTTCTCCCCTGAATTCAGCCCCGTTGTCAATCAGGATTTCTTCCGTATCCTGATGCATCCCGAGGAAACGGTTGACATATCGTGCGATTTTCGTGGCTTGCCGTGTGCGACAAGGATACGCTTCGATCCATTTCGAGAAATGGTCGACAAATACCAATAGGACTGAATATTTGCAACTATTCGGGCCAGGGGGCACCACTATGTCGTTACTGTCCATGCTTACTCTCTGAAATGGCCGTTCAACAACCGTGGGCACTATCGACCTTGGTGGCTGAATCGGTGCTTTATCCGCGACGCAAACTTGACAGGTGGCGACGATGTACTTCACGTCGTCGTGGATATTGGACCAATACCACTCATTTTTGTCGATACGGGACTCCGTGATTCGTACTGCAAAATGAGCCGCGGTTTCCTCGTGGGCTGTCTTAACCCTGTCATACCGCATGAATGGATGTGGCACCACTTTCCAAGTCCCACTGCCATCCGTTTTCCTTTTTTCTAATCTACCATTTATCCATCGATAATCCCGAGCCCTTTCGTTGGCTTTCCTCCGATCTTCCTTGGTGAAATCTTGGAGGGGATTACCTACTAGGGTGGCTATCAAGGCAATATCAGTCCATACTTCGGCCCTTCTAAATTTCTGGGTCTTCTCTAACCCTTCTGACGTGGCGTCCAAAAAGCGGGCCTCGGTCGGGATCTTGTCGGTCCGGCACCTGGGGCACAACCACGGCTTACTATCGTTTCTGTATTGGATGCACGAGCCATGGGCTCGTGCGACGCATTGTCGACAATCTATCCAATCGACGTACCCCTCCCCGTTAGGACACGTGGAGACCGCATGTACGCGGGAGATGGCTTCGCAAAAATAGCAAAATTTGTCAGGCAGGGAGAGGAGAGACGAAGAGAAAGGGGGGGAGAGAGGGGTAGTGGGGTTACCTCCGTCACCCATCGCCACCGTTTTGTTTCTTGCCACGTGGGAGGACTGCCACTTGTCCGTACTTAGGTTCGTTGGTCAGGTCCGGCTCCTTCCACGGCGTAATCTCCTCGCCCTTTGGTACCTTGGCAGGTCGATGCAGGCGTGTCAGTCCGTCCGCGTTGCCGTGTCGCTCCGTCTTTCGATGGACGATATCGAAGTCGTATTCTTGCAATCGCACCGCCCAACGGCCAATCTTGCCCGTATAGTTGGTGAGCTTCTTCAAGGCTAGCAGAGGCTCGTGATCCGTCACGAGGCGAAACTTTTGTCTGTAGAGATACGGATGGAAGTGCTGGATTCCCCAGACCACTGCATAGCATTCACCCTGAGGTGCAGAGTCGTTTCTTCGTTCGTCTGGCACGGTTCGCAATGCGTACTCGATGACGTGTTCGCGACCATCGTTCCCCTTTTGTGCTAAAATAGCGAAAATAACTTCCGGCTGCCAGTCCGTGATGAGAATGAATTGCTTCGAGGGGTCCGGTCGAATCAAAATAGGGGTCGTTACCAGAGCGTCCTTGAGGGTCGCAAAGGCCTGTTGGCACTTCGCGTCCCAGCTGAGAGGCTGGTCCTTCTGTAACAGATTCGTTAGTGGTCGTGCAATCGCGACAAAGCCCTTGATGAAGCGCCGGTTGTACGACGCCAGTCCCAAGAAGGTTCGAACCTGCGTCAGTGACGTAGGAACCGGAGCTTCCTTCATCGCCTCAACCTTTCTCGAGTCTGGACGCAATCCTCCACGTGTCACGACATAGCCTAAGAACGAAATTTCCGAGGGGAAAAATTCGCTCTTCTCAAGCGCAATCTTGAACCCAGCGTCTCTCAATGCACCCAATGTCCATTCGATGTGTTGCGCGTGCCCGTGATAGGTTTCCGAATAGACCAGGATATCGTCCATGTACACGATCACGCAGAAGTTAATCATTCCTTGCGTCAGCCGTGTCTTGTTGACGAAGTTATGGAACGTCATGTTCATCGCTCGCTGAAACGTGGCAGGCGCATTCCAAATCCCCATCGGACATCGAACCCACTTCCACGTTCCCGCAAATAACACAAAGGCCATTTGCAGTCGATCTTCTTCCCTTACCAGAATATGATGGAAGTCATGCCGAATATCAAACTTGCTGAAATAATTAGCGCATCCAATCGCATCCAACAGATCATCAATCTGGGGGAGGGGATACACATCTTTGATCGTGATTTCATTCAGCTTGCGATAATCAATGCAGATGCGAATCGCTCCGTTCTTCTTCAGTACTAACACTACGGGAAAGGACCAAGGTCCAGTAGCAAGTTCAATCCAACCACTAGCTTCGAACTCCCGAATTCGTTCGAGAACCTTTTTGCGTTCAATCAAGGAATAGCGATAAGGTTTGCAATGAATCGGAGAGTGATTTCCCGTCTGGATTTCGTGTTGGATTACTAATGACAACCTAATGTCAGTGTCTGACACACTAATCGCTCCTTGATATTCCGTTAGGATATCCACAATTACCCGGTGGATTTCATCCGACACATATTGTGGAATGTGCAGTTCAAAAAGTTGGTCCCAAATCCGAACGTCGATCTGTTTCGTGTTCGCCTGTTTGGCCAAATCGGGTGGAGGCGCCGAGATGAACGAATGGTCCGATTGCCAAGAGAACACCGTGGTCATCATCTGGGCATCTTCTTCCCTGATTGCCACGTGTCCTTCCGGGGTAATCCCGTCACAAACATCCTGCCATGGCACTTCCTTAGTTGCGATCTTTATCCCCAGTCCGTCTGTTTCTGCTTCGAAACGCCAGGGGGTTCCTGAGAGTTTGCTTCAGCCCCCAAGCGTAACAATCTCACTTCTTTATCTGATGTTAGTAAAGACTTAGGTAGTTCCGTAATGTCGCAATAATGTTTTTTGTCGCTGTACCGGGCGAGAAGAGGGGTGATTCCTTCGTACGGGGTTTGAGGGGGTTCCAAAGAATCGACCATCCTCGAAATCTGTACGAGGGGCTCACCCAAGATCATCGCCTTGGTCCTTTGAATTTTTCGGCTGGTTAGTTGCATCGTTCTCGCTATCGTTTTAGGTGGTGGGTAATAGACACGTTGTCGTGCCAATTTCAAGACCTCCGGATCATCCTCGTCACTGCTTTCCGCATCGTCTGTTGATGATTCTCCCTCTGCGGATTTTTCCCAAGAGATCATGCGGAGAGTCCCTGCCATCATCGGCAAAACCCGCGGAACTATGTTAATCGTAGTACGAAGGGTCAATCGCATGAGCACAATGTAGGGTTTTCCTCCTGTATTTCGGAGGACGATCGATCGTTGTTCGAAGTCCAGGTTTGCTCCTAATGCCACAAGCGCAGGAAGTCTGAAAAGAACGTCGTATGTATCAACAAGAAATGGAGGCCGGAGGACCCACCTTCGTCACGGGCGAAATCGATGTCTTGAATGTCATGCGAGCTTTGGATCATCGGATTCCCCTTCCGATCGGTCAACTACTCTCGATCTCCGAGCAAGCCAACGAACGAATGCTACAACATTGCAAAGCAAACCGAAAGCGATTCGTTCTCGCCCGAACGCCAAATGCAAAAGTCAAAGGCCCCGCGCCACAAGAAAACCCGATAGGCACTCCGGATCCGATACGGGTAGGGTTAATTCAGAAAGACGATCATTTCTTACAGATAAAACCAATTCCGTGGAAATCCGCAGAATGTGATATTGAAATTTGGGGAATTCCCTATAGCGCAATTATAGATTCGGGAGCAGCCGTGTTGGCAATCTCGTTGAGGGTGGTCGAAAGGGCAGGCAGGAAAAACGACTTGATCACGCTTTCTAAGAAAGATCAGCTCGTTTCGGCTTACGAGGAAAATATCAAAACGGTGGGGAGAATGACCAATGTCGCTTTCCGATTGGGTAAAGTGCATGCGCTTGGGGATGTCGTAGTACTGGATGTCAATACACACTCTGCCATTTATTTTTGCTCTAATGCGGGGCGGATTGTTCCAATCATGCCCAACCCTGGATAACCTAGCGACACATATTGGTCTAGCGGGATAAGTTCCGCTGCTTCCTCCATCGAGGCTAACGCACTTCCTCCTTCCGTTTCTTCCATCAACGCACCCACCCGTCCAGGTCCATTAGCGATGGGTGCGGACCGCGCGGCCGCAGCAGGTGCGACTCCGACCCGCTATTGCGGAGGTCGATGGGGGCAATCTCGGGCCAAATGACCCGGTTGATGACACGCGTAACAAGTATTGAGATTGGTCGCGACTCCTCCAAGATTGGTCGCGACTCCTCCAAGATTGGTCGCAGTGGCCATTCCCTGCTGAATCTAAGGAGCGCGTACAGCTATGGGCCGCGTGTTCCTCATCATTGCTTCTAGTCGTGCTGTCGGCGCGAATACCCTTACAAGGGTATCCGCCCTTGTTTTTGCGAGTAAACAGAAAGTTGTTTGGCTTAAAATTTAAGTATACCACGCTAGGCGTGACCGCGTCTGTAATTTACGTTGACAGGATGGTTG